ACCTGTATGAAGCTTTCATTTTTTGAGGATGTCCAAAAAGCAACCCCATTTAAGTTGATTTTCACCAAGCTGGGAAAAGACAAATCTGAAGTGAAGGGTGGATTGTGAGTGAAAGCTGTGCTGGTCTGAACAAAACACTGGTATGCTTGCAGTTGTGCTCCTGTTGCAATGCCTCTGGGTCTTGATCAGTCCTCCCACAGCAGTGACATGAGGGTCAGGTCAGTTTGACACTCAAACACATGTAAATGAGGTTAAATTTGGACAATTTCTAATCTACAACCTGCCACAGCACTGGAAATGTTCCCGAGGCGCACACGTAGATCAGACAAATTTAAATGTTTTTCTCTTTCTGACTGCAGTTTGCAAAGACCATTAAAATGACTAAAAGATTTTCCTGCCTTGTGGCAACATGTGACATCCTGTTTTACAACCTATCGTTATCAGCTCAATCTGCCTCTGCATTTTTTGTTTTAACACGCGGCAGGTGAAGCTGGCTCATCAAGCCAAAAGCAGATCTCTCATACTGTTCCAGCGTAAGGCTGTTTGGCGGCATGGATCAGAGGTGGACAGCACGCACCGTGAGGTCTAGCCTGGAGCGAGACACTCTGCTTTCATCACTGAGTCTTGAGCTCTGACAGAAAGAGGAGAGTTGTGAGCAGATGCTGCATAAACCTTTTTTTCATCATCATCATCACTTTGACACACAGCTACTGACCCTGTCAGATATGACGCTGTATTCGTCATCACAGCCGTTTCTCTGTGAATCAAGAACCAGAATGAAACACACAGATACCAACTCTGTTTGTGCCATGTGTGCAGCAGTTTGAGCTTTTACATACATCTCTGTCTTTGTGCTTATGTTTCTTCTTTTTCTTTGACTTCTTATGTGAGGAGGAGCCCTTGAGAGTGAAGAGAAGCAGAGCAGAGAAGTATAACACAGAGCCGTTTGACGACAGGTTTGAGAGTGCAGAAGCAAACCGAGCTGAATGTTCATGCACAAATGACTCTCCACACTGAACACACAGCGATTAGTGGCACAATAAGAAACTGATTCAGCCAATAAAATGACTGAGCCAAATATCCGGGATCTCGCATGTCCGGCAGAATGATTAGTAAGAAGAATTTTTCCACAATTACACAGCACAGGAACAAGCTGCACTACAGCCTAAAATAGTGCAGAGTTTGTTTTGGTTGGAGAAGGATGGCTCCTCAACGGATTCCAAGGTAATCAAAGTTCCTTTACAACAGCACAAACAAGAACTCAATGAGCAACTCTGGAAATTGCTTTGGGAGGTTAGTGATTGATAATGCTAAAAAGCCTTCCAGGGAATTGCCGTGGAGTTTAAATATTTTGGCAGTTTTACAAGGCTTAGAGGCTTAACAAGCTTCAGCTCCAGCTGCTTGGCGTAGAGGAGGCCTACAACGCCCTCGATGTTACATCTTTTTAAAAGGGTTTATGCATCATTTCCGACATCGTGCACAGGTTTACTCAAACATCTGATCATAAAGTAAAGAAATAGGCAGATGGATAATGAGAATAGACAATAAGACCTAATCTGTGTGTTATAACTTAAATGTCTGGCACACAAACATGCTTTGTATTACTATTATTTGAGTTACTGCAGGAACTCGCAAACCAACTGTTAGTCAAAGCAAACAATTCACAACAAATCTCCGGGAAAAGCAGTTCAAATTCATCCATCTCGTGTTCAGACACTGTCAGCTCTTACCCCTCCACCATAAGCTCCAACTGCATCAAGATCCGACTGCAAAAATACACAACATCATCATGTCACACTAACACCAGCTTGCTACGTTATCCATAGG